AATTCCACAAATCTTCAAAAGTTCTGTTCAAAGCTTGCCCTTGACTTAATACCCAACCTACACATCCATAACTCCATAAATGTTCAAACGTTCTGCCCGAAGATTAGAAACGCTGGCGCTCAGGTCCAATAAAGGAGAACTCGGCTCTCACTGAGTTCTGGCCTGAGCTCTCCTACGGCTTATGATCTAAATCTTGCATTACCCATAATAAGGAAGACCGGTACCCCGAAGAACCTGCCTTTCTAGGGCTCCTTATTTTGTGACTTCGTTAAATAAGTCCTTAAAAAAAGTAGGTTTTTTCAGGGTCCAGGTATACCATACTTCCCATAGTTTCGGGTCCTTAAGGTACCGCCGGGTTAATATCATCAACAGTACTTGCAGTTCGATCGCATCGTAGATAGCGAGTGGGGGAACTTTAACCCTAGACCCTTTTGCACAGGCTTGATTGGAGCTCGCCCGGCAGGTCCCCCACGGACCTAAACCCTAAACCCTGTATTTTTGGCCGATCATATAAAGTTTGATCTTTTTGGGCGCCCGGTCCTTGAAGAAGAGAGTTATTAGGTTTGTAGGACTTTGCCATAGCTTGCACGGCTACCCAGTCATGCTGGTAGGGCCGCCGGAAGATCGGGATTTGAATATTCATTTAGGAACAATCTGTCCTTATCGCCCCTATATCATGCGACTATGGTGTGGCCCAAAACCCTGTTGGAATTTTTAAAAGGCCGCTTAATGCCCTCAAAGTATGGAAATAGTCGCTCGTACTGGTACTGTTCCTTAGGATTCCGTATCCTGGTTGTTATAGCCCAAAGCCCCAAAACCCTAAACCCTAAACCCTGAACCTATTAAGGCCCCTAAATTAGACGGTGTAGGGCCAGACTTGGATTCCTTAAGTAATCAACGCGACTTGTAAGCTTCTCCCAGGGTTCCTTTCCAGAAATGCCACAATGCTTTAAGTTTACAAGGCTTCTCCAAAAAGCTTGAAGCTTTTTGTGTTCTTCCAACCTCTGAGTGCTCTGAAGTTTTGGGAAACATGCCTAAGACTCGAAAACATTCCTCAATCATGCAGAAGTGCCTTCATGCCATAGCCCCGATAGCTGCCACATGCTGGAGGGCAGGGCATGATTAGATGGCACGCTGGGGGCTCTTTCGCAGGAGTGTGTCCCTAAGCACCCCATCGCATCCGAAATGCCCTAAGCCCTACTTCCGTAGACACGGATTTGGAGGGTCTGTCTGTCAGCACTGACGCCCTTCCATGTCCTTCTGATAGCCAACATGACGCTTCTTTTAAAGATGACTGTAGGGTTTCGGTCCCTTTAGAGAAGTTCCAAGTTCCCCTGAGAAGTTCCAAGTTCCCTTAAACCACAAACCCTAAAGCCAGGGTTTGGGGCGAGGAGTTCGTGAGTCGGAGTCGTTGGTAGAGTAGGTAACCTTTCACCTTGTTGGCGCGTTTGAAGCACTGTATAAAACGGTTAACCTGCAATCCCCTAGGAATCCCAGAGAAATGAAGGCCAAGGCCACAAGGGTGCGGAGTTTAGGGTTTTGTCTGCACATCCCTGGATCAAGGCGTCTGCTCTGTAGGCATGGGGCCTTCAATGGACGTCTATGGGGCTTCCTTCAGGCCGAAATGACCCTTAAAAGTAGGGGCCCTAGACCCTTATACTATGAATTCCTATATGGTATATGAACCTTAAACCCTTTCAGGGTTCATTTCGTCCTTAAGGTTTGCAAGTGCATCTTTGGCAAGAGAGCGGTGGAGGAGTGGTAGGCATTCTACCCTCAAACTTGCCTTACCCTAAGGGTCCATGTACTCATAGAGTAATATACATTGGCCTTAAGGTAGTCCCTATATAGGTACATTGGGGCCAAAGTATATATTATTTGGATTCATGGACCCTTAGTTGATCCTAGTTGGGTTGATGCGGGCACCCCGGTAAGGCATCCACGGTAGGACAGCTCTCTATTCTACACCACGGCCCCAAACAACAGTCCCGAGCCGTGCCCTTGCACCCCAGACTTAACATGATCGTCAATGCATTTTCTACAGGGTTCAGGGCTTACTTTTAGTACATTAATCATCCTTCTCTTTGGCATTTGCACGAGGGTTTTCCTACAGTTCCGCACGCTTGGATCCTAAGCCCTAAACCCCACGGTCCATGGCCATGGATTCGGATGTTGACATGTCTGTCGGTTCGGGCGCGGTGCTCGAAGCGGAAGAGCAAGAAAGGTGGTTTGCTTGTGCCGGCTGTGATCCTCAGCTGTACTACGATTCACGACATCCCAAACCCGTTCAGCCTAGCAAACTCTGCACCCCAAGCACTTATCTGGGCAAAGGGGCACAGAAAAATCTTCGTGTGTGCGTGTGAACTATTCTAGACCCGAGCTCCGAACCCTGAATAATTTTCTGGGCCACTGATCATGGCAAGTAAGGATCGCATGGTGACCTCTCTCGTTCGACGGGGGCACCCCCACCCGGAGAAGCACCATTATTACGCATACGCACACTGTTGTCTAGCCTGCGAAGAAGGGCAGGGTGCTCAGTGCTTCTTTAGGGCATCGGGCTTAGCCTCTTTTCTGTTCAGCACCATATGTCACAACAATCTAATATAGTGCATAGGGGTATCTGTAAACAACCAAGGCAAGGACATTCACAAGACGAGTGGGCATGTGCCAGCGTGCCAGGCTCGCTATTCCGAAAGATCAAGCTGCTGGGAGTTCCTTAGGAGTCAGTTTTCAGTTTTTGTCATAGACAGACCCCGCGGGTCCATTCAACACATCATTTCGACTCAGCCGCTACGCGCACCCGCCTCGGCCCAGCCGGCAGTTTTTTTGGGGGTTGTAGCAGTCATAGGGTTTTGGGGCCCAGCAGCAGCAGCACCACCACCACCGACATCGCCGCCACCGCCCCCACCACCACCACCACCACCACCACCAATTGCACCACCACCAATTGCACCACCACCACCAATTGCACCACCACCAATTGCACCACCACCAATTGCACCACCACCAATTGCTCCACCACCAATTGCACCACCACCAATTGCACCACCACCAATTGCACCACCACCAATTGCACCACCACCACCACCACCACCACCACCACCACCAATTGCAACAGCAACAACCTCAACTGCAGCAGCAACAGCAGCGACAACAGCACCAGCAGCAACACCAACCGCCAGAACAACAACAACAACAACAGCAACACCAGCCGCAACCGCAACAGCAACAACGACAGCAACAACAGCAGCAACAGCAACAACAATAACGACACCAGCAGCAACGACAACATCAGCAACACCAACCGCAACGGGAGTAACAAGGCAACAGCACCAGTAGCAACAGCAACAACAACAACACCAGCGACAACGACAACAGCAGCAACAGCAACAGCACCAGCAACAGCAACAGCAGCAGCATCACCAACCGCAACAGCAGAAGCAACAGCAACAGCACTATCAAAAACAACAACAGCAACACCAACTGCCGCAACAACAGCAGCAACAACAACAGCAACAACAACACACAACACACGACAACAACAACAACAACAAC